CCAAGACATCTACATGTTTTGTTATAGTGGACATTGACTGTTTCTAAAATTGAGTTTCCTCGCCGTGTGGTTGGTGTAGTCCTAAGTGTCTTAGGCCATAATAAGCATATTCTACTTCAGGCTGCAATTCGGGAGGGGACACTCGCCTGAACTCTAGTGCATTAAGCCAAGGGAACTTTATTCTGCATCTGAGCCAACAGGGAAGTGAACTGTTTTTTCCTGCTGGATTGGAACCTGCAAACACAAATACCTGGAAGTGTCCAATTTCTAACCATGAAGGGACAGTATTTCCAAAGCCCACATGCAAAGATCTAAGACAAAGAACATACACAACTGGCTTAGCCTCTGCACCAGCGATGGGAAGGCAAATGCTTTCGGGGCCAGGCCAACAACACACCGTGAAACCTCACCCGACGTGATGTAATATGGAGGGTGGGCAGGAGACTGCTGCCTTCCCTAGGTGTGTTCAGATTACAATGAAAACAAACACAGCACTGTGCTGGCCAAAAACCTGCTGACATTTGGTCTGCTGAACTACCTAAAATTCAGCGGCATTGTGTTGGCCACCAGGTTTTCACCCAGCTCTACAATGAACCTTGGGAGCCTCTATTAACTTGACCCTTAGTGATCCCTTTTCAGTAAATGTTTTACAGCACACTCAGCATTTTCAAAATTAAAGTATGTACAGTACATTGCTTTTCTAGACATAATGCTATTGCACACTTAATAGACTACAGCATAGTGTAAACATAACTTTTACATGCACTGGGAAGCCAAAAAATTCGTGTGACTCCCTTTACTGTGACATTTGCTTTATTGCAGAGCTCTGGAACAGAACCTCTGATATCTCTGAGGTACTCATGTTTCATCTCCAGTCACGTCTTTAATAGGTTTGGGCTGCTACACAGTCTCCCTTTCCCTACTCAGGTCCAAGAATTAATTACTTAAGTTGTTATTTTCATAACTAGTTAGTTTATTAATATTAATAATAGGAAGAGTGCAAAGGGGAGGCCAGACATTATAAGCATGGACATCTGGGCAGCTTCACCAAGAAGCTACAGCTTCACACTCCCCAGGGAACCACCTGTCCATTCCCTGCAGATCAGTGGGGGAACGGCTGGGACAAAGGGGGAGATGGGCGCATGCACAGTGAAGTCAAGAAAAAGATCATTGGCTAGGGAGTGGACCCCAATGCAAGCCCATGAAAATTTGGGAAGCTGATTAGTTATTTTGAATAAGCTTCTGGTTCCTCCCAAACTTGAGAATACATAATCCCAGGTGAACAAAGAAGCCTTCCCTTCTTGCGCTCTCTTGCTCCATGATGTGCACTCACCTGCCATGTGGTCTTAAGTAGCCACGTGGCGTATGGCCATGAGGACCCCACACGCAATGGACTAGAGCTAGAAACAAAAGCTAAGCTAGCCAGATGCTGGCCTGGACTGGACTTTAATATGGAGCAGAAATTCTGGGCAGTGGCCTTAATTCCAGCCCTTGAAGACAGATCTAATCTTGAAGACAAGATTAGACTTTTTCCTTGGTGGGCTGGACAGCGATGGGACCTTGGAGAGAAACCCCCTTAATTTTACATCATCAGTAAAGCTTTCCATAGAACCCCATCCTCCCGTGGGGGCCTCAGGAAATTATTTTCCTCCAGGTATCCCAAGAACTCCACTTCCACCGATAACAAAGCCACTGAGAACATCTTAAATGTTACACAAAAACCACCCTGGAGTAAACACTATCTTCACTTTCTCACTGCTGTTCTTTTTAAAGCTAAAGAGACATATAGCCAAATCTCTGGGGCCAACTACAGTGCCATCATGGGGACTTCTTTAATGGGGCTGCCTCTCTTAGAGCCCAGGAGTTTCCCAGAGTTTTTATATCCCATACAAACCATCCATCCACCCCACATCTTGATACAATTCCAAATGCACCAGAAGCATGGAGATCAATTCAAACATTTTGAAGTGAAATTGGAACTGAATAAAGTAGAAATATGTTAATGTAAAGAAATGAGGCTATTTCTGATTTATTTTTAGAAATTGGGAAATGATGGTGTGTTTAATGTAGACTTGTGATGCCTAATAACTCCTTCAAAAGTGAGATTAGGTTCCAGGTGAACGCTTCTTAAAAAGCAACAGCCACAGGCTGGGGGCACCAATTCAGTCAGAAACAAAACCACCCCCTTAATTAACAGTCAACAAGGAGAGACACATAGAGGAATGCCTTTCACCAGTGTAGCCTATTGCTGCCTTTTGAATCTCCAACAGGCTCAAGCTAAGAAAGATCGAAGTCTCCTGGCTCTCTGCAGACCTTTTGTAGACTTACAAATAAAGCCTGAACCTACCTATTTACCAGAATTTCTAACTATTTACTGACAGGGTTTGGAGAATTTCTTTTCTTTTTATTTTGTGTGCTTTCTTTTGGAGAATTTCTAAGGGATTGAAAGAGCTGTGAATTTGGCCTCCATGAAGAACTGTTTGTACTCAAAGCAACTTAGGAGATAAACAAGTGAAATGCAAAAAGTTAGGAGCAACTCCCAGTGTTATTACTAACAGCTTAATGTTCTAACAAAATAATAGCATTTTCCTTACCAAGATGTGAAAACTCTAAGAACTGCTCTGAAAGCCCAGGGTGGCCCTGACTTTGGGAATAAGTGACAGCTAATTCCTGCCTGTGATTTTTCCTTGGTGACTGGCCACAGGCAGACTAAAGCTCCCCTGCTGTGACTGCCCAGGGGGTCCTCACTGAACTGCAGTCACTGCTGTGCCCTCCCTGTCCCTCAGGTTTGTTTTCAGGGGAGCTACTCCGTGTTCTCATGGAACACCTTTGAGTGATGTTATCTTTTACATACAGTAATACAATTCCATTCCTTCATTCCACATATATGCACTGAGCACTCATTCCATGTTCTAGAAGCTGAGGCTAAAGCAGTGAATAAAGGACATACAGTGGTAAATGCCTCTTACACCCCTATCTAGGAATGAAGCGACCTGCTGATGTTGCTTACAATGCAGAGAGCTTAATGCCATGCAAAGGATCCCCACCAGTAAACACAGGTCAAAATCGTGGCTGAAATAGCAAAGGGGACCCCCACAAGATGCACTACACTTCACTTTCATGTGAGTGAAAAATAATGATGCATTTTTAAAAAACAGTTACTTTTACAAAAACCTTTTTAGATAACATCTGTAAAGTGAGGTGCCCTCTACCTTCCTGGTAAACACAGGCTCATGCGGCCTGACAGACAATCCAACATGCCTGATATACTAGCACAGGAGTATGATTTTAATAAGCTGAGGGCCCTTGGAATGCAATCTTCAGGCTCCTTGAGGCAACAATTTGATGAATGTAAGACCTGTCCCCATAAAGCCTGTCTACATCCGTGTCAGGAGATGAAAATGCTGGCTCTGGCTGGGACACCTGGTTGGAGAGGGGCACTACAGGAGATGTAAAAGCAGGATGTGCTTCTAGCAGTGGCAACCTTTCCCTGGTCTCGCCACCCTTCCCACCTCCTGGGGACAAGCTCTCAGCCTTCAGTCAGGGGAGCCAAGCAAGGTGTTGAGGGCTAGGAGCCAGGGACTGAGGTGTTGGTAAATTTAATTAGCATGTGTGAAGCTAAAAGAGCCTAGCTGAAAGCCATTCTAGAAGCGTGAAGAATTATGATTGCTTTTTGAGAACTCCCATCTCCCAGGAATGAACAAGCCCAGGGAAAGATGAGCTGCTTAGTTTTTTTGTTTGTTTTTAGAAAATATTTGTTCAAGTCTTCTGTTGGTAAGGCATCCAGTCTGTGCTAACAGACTTTTACCTTTACTAAAAGAATTTATCTTCGTCTGCCCGGAGTAAGGACTTGCCTGGCCGTGAAGAAAGCTAGTACAGGGATCTATGGTGGATCAAGTGCCACATTTTATAATAAACATTTTATAACTAGGGAAGAGACTTTAACGCTTCCATGAAATCCTGTTCAATTCAACAGCAAGCACAGAGAAAAGGTTAGACATGAATTAGAGGTCTCTGCACTCCAAAGGCTCACAGCCTTGGGCAGGGGAGATGTTATGGGATCCACTATAGATACAAAGTGAAATAACTTGAACATAAAGCCAGCTGTGGTAGGACTATTACAGAGTAAACCCAACTCGTAAGCTTAGAGCAGGCTTTTCACAGGAGGGATTTGGGCTGCATCTTGAAGATGAGGGGAAGAGCACTTAGGGCAGAAGAAAGGAGTTGAACAATAGCATGAAAGTGTGTCTGGAGAGAGTGGGCAGAAACATGACTAACAAAGGCTGTTGGGGAAAGATCGATGCTGTGGAAAGACAGAAGGAACCCAGCTCCTCTCAGACAAAGGACTGGGACTTTGAAATCACAAACAAGTGTTGGCAAGAATGTGGAGAAAAGGGAACCCTTGTGCACTGTTGGTGGGATTGTAAATTGGTGCAGCCACTATGGAAAACAGTATGGAGGTTCCTAAGAAAGTTAAAAATAGAATTACCATATAACCCAGCAATCCCCCCCTGGGTATTTATCTGAAGAAACGGGAAACGCTAATTTGGAAAGACATGCATCCCCATGTTCACTGCACTGTTATCAACAATAGCCAAGGTATGAAAGTAGCTTAAGCGTCCACCAGGAGATGAGCGGACAGAGAGGGCGTGGTACAGATGCCCTGGAATATTACTACTCTCTTGGAAGAGACACAGAAACTAGACAGCAGCTGCCCACCCCAGCACATCTGTCTGCCGCTGGTGTTTTTTCTCACAGCGGCCATTCCAAGCAGCAGCGGTGTGCTTTCAAGCACACAATCTGACAGTTATCTTAGATGCTGAAACAGAATCATAAACATAATGGGCCACCATGACAGAGACCATGCCTGGAGCTCCCAGGTTAGAGCAGGGACAAGGCACACTTCCCACAGCTACAGTAACTGTAAGAAAACCCTGCCTCATGGGAAGATCATAAAATAACTCAGGTGCCGGCTTTCATTACACCCGGGCCCAGCCTACCTCAAACTCCAGGTAGTGGTCTTTCAGTTTGTACTCATCTATCTCCTTGGCTTTCACTTTCTTGTCCGGGGGGTATGAGCGGTGCTCGGCCAGCTCGGTGGTAATCTGCTTCAGTTTACTTTCGTGAGATTTCAGCTGTTCCTCCTGCAGGGAACAGTAAGCTAGTTAATGTCCGAAAAGAAATCAATAAACAAGTGTAGAGTACTTTTCAAAATCCCTTATGATGAACGACTTTAATTCACTGAAGCGGGCCAGTGTGCCTCGGCTGCTGCACTCACCAACGCTCTCAAGCCTTCCACGTGCACCTTTGGAAACGGAGCCAGCCTCCCTTCCTTTATAAAAAGCAGAGTAGCCCGGCCGGTGTGGCTCAGTGGTTGAGTGCCCAGCCTCCAGGCCCCGTCACAAAGCCAAATGCTCTCAGAGCCCTTCCTCAGGGGTAAGTGTCCCAGGGCTGAGTCAAAGCCACCTACCATATGCCAACAGGCAAGGCGCCCGCTGAACTGCTAGGCACCTCTCCCGAGAGCCGCACAATTTGGCTTCTCCACTTTAGGACCACTCAGCAGTGCTGCTAGTTTCTCCGTCTGTCACAATGACCAAATAAGCTATCAGACACTATTCTAAAAAATGTAGCAATCGATGCTTTTTTCCTCCAAAGTAGTACAGGTTCTGACTTCCTTCAACTTTATTGACTCAAAGTACTCACTCAGTTAAAATGTACCGACAGAGTGATGACTGCCTGAACGGTGTTATCACAGGCATCATGCACCAATGCAACATGGCTGGTCCTGTGTCAAAGAATTTCCACTCTAGGGGGACCATTTATATCACCTTAGCAATGCGCTACCTAACAAGAGACACTATCAAACCCTCTGGCAGCATTTTAAAACACGAAACAAAGAGATTGGAATTCTCTTGCATGTCTAAAATTGCACGACTGCTTTGCTTACTATTCCACTTTCACATGTAATTGTCCAAATTCTTGTTGAGTATAAATTTTACATGTACAATAAGAAATGGGTGAAAGCAAATGAAGGGGAGCTGATTATACATAATTTCAAAATACAAACATTTTATTCTAGATGAGTAGATTAAAAAGACTACCAAAAAGGAATAATTCTGGACACTAATTAGGATTATATAACATCAATGTAAATTAAAAATAAGATATTCAAAAATTATGAGAGTCACATGTAATATACTCGGGATTTGTTATAATGCACATCCTGAAAGCCAAACAAGGGGGAAAAAAAAATCCAAGTCTACAGCCATCAAAATAGAAGACAACAATGAAAACTTTTTAAAAATCAGAGTAGCCTGGCTGGCGTGGCTCAGTGGCTGAGTGTCGACCCATGAACCAGGAGATTGTGGTTAGATTCCTGGTCAGGGCACATGCCCGGGTTTCGAGCTCGATCCCCAGTAGGGGGCCTGCAGGAGGCACCCGATCAGTGACTCATCATTGATGTTTCTCCCTCTCCCTCTCCCTCTCCTTCTCCCTTCCTCTCTCTGAAGTCAATAAAAACGTTTTTTTAAAAAAAAATAATAGAAAACAGAGTACATGATTGAAAAGGGAACAACAGAAGTGAAAGTAATAAGCAGAGTGAATCAAAGAGGACAAGACTCATTATTAAATACCAACTCACTAAAACGAAGCATCTAACGAAGCCCCAGAGAAGTAGAGGAGGAAAAAAGAAAGCTGTGTTGAGATTTTAGAAAGGGGTCTACGTCTCCAAGCCTGTCCTTTGTACACTGATAACACTGAACACAAATGAAAAATGCCTCAGGTAGCTTTTATTCACAACTTCTCATCCATCTTTCTCTTTCTTTCTCCAAGGAGACCATACCATATTAAGGACTGAACGTTTGTGGCCCTCAAAAATTCATATGTTGAAGCCTAGTGTGGCTACATTTGTAGACGGGGCTTCTAAGGAAGTAATTTAGGTTAAATGAGGTCATAAAGGCAGGGCCCTGATGCAACAGGATTAGTGTCCTTGTAAGAGGAGACACCAAGACCACACACTCTCTGGGTGCAGACACCAAAGAAAGGCCATGTGAGGGCATAGAACAAAGGGAGGCCACCTGCAACCCACAGAGGGAGATCCCTCACCAGGCTCCAACCCTGCAGCCACCTTGATCTGGGACTTCCAGGCTCCAGAACTGTGACCAAAAAAAGAAAAAAATTCTGTCATTTAAGCCACTCAGTCTGTGGTATTTTGTTCTGGCAGCCAGAGATGACTAAGAAGAATATATTAATAGCTACCTTCTTTCAAAGTAATTTTCCTTTGTATATTTACTGCAACATGTAAATTATTTAATAGAATTTTTGGCAAAAGATATTTTGAAAAATAAAAATGTGAGTTATCTTTTCTGTTTAATAAAGTGTTTCAGGTATAAAAAGTCATACTGAATGATATATGAAAACCATTCATGTATCTAACACCCAGTTTAACAAAATTTTATAAAAACAGTGGAAATTTCCTGTATTTATCTGCTCATCTTATTTCTTTTCTATGCTATTCTTATACCATAAAAATAGAGACTCTGTTCTACAGGTTTTTATGCTTAATAAGCTTCCCCTTGTAACCTGTTTTTCCCACTCAACATGTTTTTGAAGTTTGTTCACATATAATCTCTAGTTCCTTCCTCTTAACCACTGTGTAGTATTCCACTGTAGGGCGCACTACAATTCCAATGAGGGACAGTTAGGTTGAGTCCAGGTTTCTTTGGGCCATTGGAAGCGATACTGCATTGAACATGTTGCTTAATGAACACGAGCAAGAACTCTCCTATAGTACAATCACCAAGAGGTGGAATTTCTCGATCTCAGGATACGCACAACTTTAAGATGACTCTGTGTTCCAGTTGTACCCACTAGCTTACATTTTCACAGTGGGCTTGAACGTTCCCATTGCTCTATATTCTTGTCAAAATTTTTTATCACACTTGCCAAACTTTTGCTGATTTCACGGGCATGCAGTGGTCAGCCATATAGTCTGAATTCACATTTTCCCAGTCACAGGGGGATGAACTCGCTTTCATGCGTGCACTGGGCTCCCTCTTCTGTGCACCGGCTGCTACACATTGGGCCCTTTCCTGCTGGGCCCAGATTTGTAAAGCATAGTGATTCATAGTTTAAGACAAAGAATTCTTTTCTTTTTCAGTTAATAAAATGATTAGAATCCAGATACTAGCTTTCATTTCAAATAAGATTTTACATAATTTGTTAAAAGAATTTACAAAGTTCTCGGTAGTTTCAGACTTTGCCTCTGTGTAAATCTTCTGTTAAATGTTTGCCCTTTCGGAAAACTTCAGATCCGGGCTCCTTCCTCTTGAATATTCAAATGCCTCTTTCTGTTGAGTAAATCCCAATTTCTACTCATTTTAATGACGGATATATGCCAAGACAACACTATGCAAAGCATATTATATTTGTCACTTTCCTACCAAAACCACAGTTTACTAGGATTTATTCACTGTTATTAAGCTATGGTTTATAACCCTGACTATTTCTATAGCAGCATAAAGGGTTAGTCATTTGGGCTATATTTTTACGGAGAAACTAGATGAAGGAATGTTGGAATTCAGTGTGCAATGGTTACCTCCTATTTCACTGCCTTCATGAGCAACAATCAAGGAAAATAAACTCAAAATAAAAGCATTTTAAAATCGCATTTCTTAATCTGTCCATTTTGACCAGTGAAATAAAAATACCATGTGGCTCTCTTATGGGCACAGACAGGTAGACCATGCCAACTGTTCCAATGCTGTAACCCCACGGTAGAGGAAATACACAGAGAAACGAAGGAGAAAAGCAGGGCCATGGAGACGTGTTGCATTCTCAGGGTTGGAACAATTAAATTTTAATAGACTTGATGGAGAAAGACAAAGTAGGAGCCCTACTGTTTGTCTCCCTTTTGTCTCTGCTCTGACAGTTCACTGGGGGAGCAAATACACTGTTCTTCTGAGACAATACTAACAAAAGGGACTTCAGAGAAGGCAGAGAAATACATCTGACCAAGCTGAAAGAAATGGAACAGAGAGAGGAAATGGCATGTACGCATAGAAATTTTTAAGTTAGGAAGGGATCCCGTAAGGAGTGGCATTAAATAATAGATGCAAGAAAAATTACTGCAGTTATATGTTCAATAGATGCAACTGGTAAAACCTTTGATAACATATACAATGAAATTTTATCTAAAAGGTTTCAGATGATGTCACCTAAGATTTAATTTTTTTCCCTACTCATATAGTACCTCAAAGAAAATTTCATATTTTGTTTCATAGTGAACTCTAATTCCATCTCTGTGAAGAAAGTATTTCTAATGGATGAGGCGATGGGGCCAGGCAAGGGGGAGATCAAGATCTGGAAGCGAGTCAAGGGCTGAGGCAGAGGCAGGGCCTTCATTCTGGTGCACAGCCCAGCGGCCCAGCTACCGCTACAAGGCTCAGAAATTAGCTCTATTCTTCTATACCAAGCCTAAGACTTATTCCTTCTCATGGAGAAAGGATTAAGGAAAAGCTATGGAAAAGGAAAGGAAATGACGGTACAGAAAGGCGCATGTAAGAGGAAGGGAGTAATAATGAGGACCTGGGAGAGACGGCAGGAGCGGGAGGAGAGGAGTCATCCACCCACGACACAGTAGGTGCTCCCTGAACACCTACGCGCAGGCACTGTGCTGGGGGCTGGAAACGCCTCCATCTTACTGTTCTTCTTTTCCCCAACTGTGGAACACAGAATCCTCGAAATTTTAAGGCAAAAGAGACCCTGCCCTCGCCCCCCCTAACCCCTTCCTCTGAGAGGCAGTGATGATGCGGAGAGCTCTGGCTCAAGGCCACAGAGCTAAGGACAGTGGGGCAGCAGCCCCCTCCCCACTCCTAGTCAAAACTCGCCTTGGAACAGCCTGCTTAAACCCACCGGGCTGCCGAGAACAAGCTTCAGACAGTCCGTTTCTTAATATAGCGATGCTGACCTCAGCTTTCCAAACTTCCTAAGCTCCCCGGGTCCCACCGTGCCCTCTCTCCCACGGTTCTCAAACACGCGGCTGTCCGCAGGTCCTTCCTCTGAGCCCCACTCGAGACCAGTGCTCCTCCAGCTCTCCTTCCCTCCCCCCCTGCATGACCACAGCACTCACATGCCTGTACCACGC